GTTTGTTTTTTCCCCAAAGATAAAAAGGCAGATAAATGCAGTCTCAGCTCTTAGTTTATCATTCTGTAGCTGCTTTCATCAGCAGTTAAGATAATGGGGAATCAGAAAAAAAAATAGTATCTGTATTTGCATTTGAACTTCTCATGTTGAACTCATATTTAAGTAAATCATTTAACAGTTGACAATTTCTCTTATCTGTACAAAAGGATCAATACTTTTTATTGACTTTATGAATCATTTATAGGTTCCAGTCTGTCTCCATACAAACACAAAATATCACTCTGAAAATAGTACATTAAATAATTAAATTAAAGCACTCTGTAGTGCAGGTAATTTGTATGAAAAAATCAGAAGTTTCAGGTTACTTGTAATTTGACCTGACTTTGTTTGCCAAAATCTGTGCTTCTCTAGGGTCCTTTTGCTTGCTCTGAGAATAAGATTTGACCTTATGAGGAAAGTGATACTTAGGCACTTTCTGTAATTCTCAGATTTGTTTGATATTTATGTACAGACTTGGATAATGCATTGAGCTGCCTTCAACGTGAAGATCCAAGTTTAAAAGTGAAGATAGATCCTGACACAGGACAAGTAAGATGAATCTTCTACTACTCCCAACAAAACCAAGTTTTGTTTTAGAACTGTCAAGTTAGTTCATCTGCATATTGAGATTTTCTTGAATAAAAAGGACTCTCTAAATGTTGTATATACAAAGTTCAGTGTGTGAAACTAAAATGGAGCCTTGTGCAGTTTTGCTTTACAGAATAGAGGAAGTCACCCTGTGCTCTGCATGTTTTTGACAGTTCTGTATTTAAAAAAGTTTGAATTACATAGTCTTTAAGATAATGTAAGATTACCTGTTTTTAGCAGTGTAGTCACAGTAGTGGTGACTACACTTTCATGTGTGTTACTGTCAGATGACTTATATAGCAATGTTTTCTCTCTAGGGTCCTTAGAATTTGAAGTATTGAAGGTTTTTGACAGTTCAAAGCATGCAAGTCTTTGCTTAAAGCATTTGTAATAAAACTTCTGAGTTTTGCATGTTTTTCCACTTTCTCTCAACTGTCTTCTCACCAGACTATCCTCTGTGGCATGGGAGAACTACACATAGAGATCATTCATGACCGAATCAAACGTGAATATGGAATTGAGACTTATTTGGGACCTCTTCAAATAGCATACCGAGAAACCATCTTAAGTGCTGCCCAAGTTACAGGTAAAATGAGTAAATGGAAGGAACATCTTGTTTCTGGATTTGTAACTTGATGTACTTTAAATGATATATGACTAACTTTCAGATTAATGTTATGTATTAGCCTTTTTTTTTTCTAAATGGCTGTTTCACTTTTTTTCCCTCTTCCTTGCAGATATGTTGGACAAAACAGTAGGAGATAAACGACACTTTGTTACTGCAGAGTTAGAGGTGAGACCCAGGTCAGGGGACAGAGCAGTGACAAAACCCATCATTGACTATGCTGAGAGTGTTATTGGAGAACTACCCAAAGAACTCCAAGGAGCTATAGAAAATGGAATCATGAATTCATGCATTCAAGGTAAAGGAAGTGCTGTGACATCTATACTAGTCTAATATTTTTATAAGAAGCAATTTAACAAGTTTCTAGAAGGAAACACTCCTTCGTAGCTTGAAAACTAAAAAGTAGTACATACTAACATGTAAGATGGAAAGGAAAATGATGAAATTTCCTTAACTACAAAAATTGCCGAACACTCTTCCCTATTTCAGGAATGGAAGTCAGCATCCTTTGGTTTGGTTTTCAGGTTGATTTCATTTCAGTCACTCTAAAGTGAGCTTGGAGTTCTGGTTTAATCTGCTGTTAAGAGAGAAGGTGTTTACTTCATGACAGAAATGGTTTCAGAGGCCAACATGTACACACCGCACTCTGTTAGTGTTACTGATGCATTTTTTGCAAATACATAAAATCCATGAGTTTTCAGTAAAGCCTTACCTAACTGCAAAGTGAGGGCTTTCTCAAGGACTAAAAGTGTCCTTGACTTTTGACTAAAAATAGGAAGTTTAATTACGTGTGGCCAAAGAGCTCTGTCTTACAATAAAATTAACAGGTAGTGGATTGACAAATGAGAATTACTCTGTACGAAGTGTTTTTTCCATGTTGCTATGTGGAATTGGAAAGCATCTCCCGTCTCTGGCTGTGGAATGACTCTTAGCTGTGCGCTTTCTTCATGCTCCTTGAAGACACTTCAGAATTGTGCTGTCTCTGGCCTAAAATTGATGCCATTAAGTGCTTAAAAAAACCCAAAAAGATCTGGCCATGTTCTCTGTAAGAAAAAAGCAAGGTGTTTTTTCTCAGATGGCCTCACATCTAGTCTAATACAGTTTGGTTTGGTTGAGAGTCCTGGGTTGGAGGGAGACAATCTGTCTGAGATGCTAGATGTCATTAATCCTTTATGGAATTGAGTTAACCCTGGAGTTGTGGTAGTGGGTTAGTATCAGGCTTTGCTGTGATCATACTGTGTTGAAAAGGAAGATGTAGAAAATACTCTGGTTTCTGGTTTAACAAAAGGTTTCACTACTTTTTCAAGTGAGATCTTGTTTCAATAGACAAGTTTTAGATACTACAGTGTATTTTTTAAAAGCTTCATTTTCAGGAACAGTTGTATGGATGAGCACACTCAGGAACTTACTGTTCTCAGAATTATCTATGTTTTTGATAAAGAGAGTAAGAAAGTATTCCTTTGTCTCTTTTGGCAAAGCTAGATAATGACAAAATCACAAAATGAGGAACACAACCAGTAGTCACATTCTTTCAGGGGTGGACAGGGACGGAGAGAGCAAAGAGGAAAGTGAGAAGCTTTAAATTAATCCTGAAAAATTTTTTGCATATCTCTTAATATTCTGAAAAACAAATCTGCTTTTTTCTTTCTGCTCTTCTACACTGGCCCACCCAGGACCTCTGCTTGGATTCCCAGTTCAGGATATAGATGTGACAGTGCAATCACTGACAGTGCACCCGGACACCTCCCACACAATGGTATCAGCCTGTGTCTCCCGTTGCATGCAAAAGGTACACTGAAACTAAGCTGCTGAAGAATCCAGCAGCATGATATACTGCTGGGAAAATCTGTGTGTATCTGTATCTGGTACTTGATCTGCTCTGTCAGTGTAATGCCCTCGCTGAGAATTCTACAGCTTTTGAAGGTAGAGAATTTGAGAGACGGTGTTAGCTTCACGATAGAAGTACCTATAATGTCAATTTTATTTTAAACAAACAAACAAAACCCCAAAAATACATTGACGTAATGTCCCTTCCTTCCTTTCTGTGTAGGCCTTGAAAAAAGCTGGTATACAAATACTGGAGCCTGTGATGAACCTAGAAATCACAGTAAGTGAAGATCATCTCAGTGCAGCACTTTCTGATCTTGCTCAGCGGAGAGGCAGTATTCAGGAAATCCAGAGTCGTCAAGATAACAGAGTTGTGGTTGCTGCTGTTCCACTAGCAGAAATGATGGTATGTGATTACCTTACTAATGGTAAAACTAATTTTTTTATATGCTTCAAAAAATGGCTTCACTTTTTGTTACAGATAAGTTTAGAATGGATGGGTTTTTTTACTGTATTTTAATTATTGAAGGTCCAAAGGAAGTGCCCACAAATCTAGTAGTGTTCTTTTGCCCAATTCAGATTGTTAAACCAGCACATACTCAAGTGTAAGTCAAAGAAGTAGTAAGTACTGCTAGAACAGGTTTTACAGGGAATAGTTTTTTAAAAATATTATTATTGACTCATGCATGTTTTGCACTTTTAATAGAGTAATGTTAAAAAATTAACTTACTGGTATGTTGCAGTATACTTCTGACACTCTCTCTGTGGTCTAAGCAGCCTTCTGTGTTAACTCATCTTCCCTTTATCCTAAACTGAGTGACACATCATCTCCATTTTGTCCAGGGCTACTCAACAGTTCTGCGTTCTTTAACATCAGGCTCAGCAACCTTCACATTGGAGCTTGCCAGTTATCAAGCCCTGAACAGTCAAGAGCAAAGTGCACTTCTTCAGAGGAGGATGGGGTTGGTGTGATCACTTTGTAGAATGGTGTTTTCTATTCTCCATGTTAAATATTTCCATATGTACACCAGTACGTTCACCTGGGACCAACTGGTGGTGGTAAATGACAAGTCAGCAGCCATATGAACAGAATGGGCTCTTAATTGTCCGCAGGGGAAAGTTCAAGAGCCTGTTCTAATGGCACAGCCTTGTAATTGCAAAGCAGGGATGGAACCACAAGGTGTTGCTTTGCAAATTTTTATCTTACAGATAAGATCCGTAAGGAGAATTGATGCACATCCTTTTCACAGAAATGAGGACTAAGTGCATGTTAGTGTGCCACGAGAACTGATTCTTAATTTAGTAAATAAAGTTTGTGAAGTTTATGTCTATCAGTGAAATAACTGTACCGTTTCGGCAGTCTGTGTCATCATTTGTTTTCAGCTGAACGAAAGTATATGGTTAATATGTACTTTAAACAGTACAACTTAAGTATTACTTCTTGTACTGGTAGCAACTAGCTATGAAAGAGAGTTCAGGACTGGGTGTAACTTCTACCTGACTTTGCTTTAGCAAGTAAGTGAAATGGATACTTCTGCAAATTGAGTAAGATCTGTGCAAAAAAAAAAAAAATACAAGAAAGAGAGAGTTCTTCCACGATGGTAATCCCTACCTACCACCCTGCAATATGATGACGGAGGATTTTTTTTTTTTACCTTTAGGAATGAGTGAATTAAGCTATAATAGTCCTGATTTGCTATGATTTGCAATTATCTGGTTACCTAGAAAACTGGCAAATGATAAAATACTTTGAAATAAAAAAGATAGTTTGCTCTTTATTTAAATGGTGTCTTAGCTTTATTTTCTCAACTTTAGAATGTAAAGAAATTGGAATTAATAACTATGGTATCAAGTTTCAGGATTTCACAGTGAAGAATCCCAGTTTCTAAAACCCTAAAAACAACCATTTTTACTCCAAAAAGGTTATCAAACAATTTTATTTTAAAAGTGAAAATTTTAAATCTTGATTCAAATACATATTCATACCCCAGAGGCACTTCAGGTTGTTGAGGAGAAGTCTTTGCAGCAGTTACGGCCGTCTCCCTTCATGGGCGCAGTATCCAACAAACACCGGTTCGGCTGCTATGCCACGGCTGTTAAAATAAAGTGGAATGTGTATGACTATAATCAAACAACTGGCTGTTTGTATAGGCAGGAAGAGAGATACTGGCACTCCATTCTATAAACAAAACTATGTCCAAGAAGTAACAGATGTCGTCTCTAGGGAGTGAAAAGGGGCCCTATTCTACTTCTAATTGTACTTCAGTTCTCTGTTTCAATCAGAGCTACCGAGCTATTAGCAAACATGTTGAAATTCAGGACCCAGTTGTCTTGATGTTATGCAAAATTTACAGCTTTTATTGAAAAGAAGTTATAAGAACATGCAAATATAAATCAATTCACATTTGCACACTCTCCCTGCTCCCAACCCTCATGTTTCCTCCATATGCAGCTTTAATTATGTAATTTTCATTCATATTTGGGGGGAGCCAAGATTTCTTCCAGCTTACACTATCATAAATTAGTCTGTTCTCATGTGGCTTTAAAAAACAAACTAACCAAGCCCTTGTAGTTTATGATGGCACAGTAAGATAGTATAAAAAAAATTTTCAGAGTTAAAGAAGTTGTAGTCAAAATTCTGCTTCTTGAATATTTAAGGACTAGATACTACTGCTACTAGCGTTTAAAAGTGCTGCAGTGGAAGAAACTGAATAATGGATTACCTCAGCTGAACTATTGCTGCACCTAAGCAAGTCCTACTCTACTTAGTAAAGACAGGGCTGGTGTCTAGGCCTCTACAATAGATGCCCACCTTTTTGTTTCCTTTCTCCCATTATCATTTCAGTTTGGGCTGCTGTGTCCTAGGGGAGGTTGAATTTAGATCTGAGTAGTAGCTACTGCTTTCACTGTATTATTTCAAGAGCAGTGGCCTCAACCTTCAATAGGCAGAGTTATTCTTCCAGTGACCACAACTGAGCTGTTACAAAGTGCTACCCATCCATTCCCCTCACTCCCTCATAACCAGCTGCAGAGCAAGCCAGAGTTGTTCATTCTGCTTGGAAAGTCTCCTTGGCCTTCTACAATTGATATGGTCTATGTATACACCATATATAAAAACATAAGTAGGAACACAATCCTTTTCCCACACACTAAGACTACAATGCATGACTTAATGCATCTTTCTTCCTTTTCTGTGGATACAAACCACACTACCTCTCTTCCCTTCATTTCCAGGTCAGCACTTTAAGTCTGTACTTCTGTTCCACTGGTTATAAGACATGAGAACCAAGATACACTGTAGCCACTAAATCTTACCGGAGCATGCGGCAGCGATGATTCCTCAGCCTTCTATAGGCATCTTGCAAGTCGGTCACATTCCTGCTGCTCCAGAGTCTTTCTCCTACAGCACTTGCTCGAGGCCTGTAAAGGTATACTAAGTTTTAGAGTAGGTGTGGTCTATAACCAAGAATAGATAAAATTTTTTTATAGCTGCTCAGGTTCAGCACAGAGCACTGTCACCACTATCATACAGTCTTCTTGGATTAATTAAGATCCTTGCAGCTGGCTTTTGAAAACCTAATGATAAAGCAGTTCATACCATAATCTTGGTGTCAGGTTAGTTGCATCCACAAATTCCCCCCACAGGCAGGCTTCTCCACCTATTAAAAGTTTCTTCTGTTCTTCAGATCCTGAATTCAAAGCAGAAGGTCAGAATTTTTATTTTTCCAGAAGATAAGAATATATCAAAAATTTAATTTTCTAATACTTAGAGAGGATTGATGTTCAGTTGTTTGTTTGGTCATATAAAACTATTCTGAGCACTAACTTAACATTTTAGTAGTCTTGTTACTGAATGTGAGAACCACCAGGCTGTTTGCCCAGAGAAGCCACTTCTCCTCTCTTTCAGAAAGTATTTTACCTTTTATCCCCTGAAGACATTCCTCAGCCTCCTGACATTCCTCAGGGATATCAGTCCTGATGGAAACTGTTCATTCTATCACATGCAGAACATTCCTTGAAAAAACCACTTAGTCAGGTGTTCTTCCTAATCAGCTCTGAGACCTACCTTGCACAAGATAAAAGCCCCATGGAAAGCATAACATGTTTGTATCAGCTTTAGACAGGAGAGAACATGTCTTCTATGAAACAGTTTCACACTCTAGAAGCTTGCTAACATATGTCTACCAGCAGCCATTCTGCACAACTCCGCACCTGAAGTATGAGGCACCTGCCCACCTTGTCCATCATTCTGTCTCACACAAGCACCAGTATCAGATGCTGAGGAAGGTAACACCTTTCCCTGTGAGAAGTGCAAAGTTCCCTTTTTTTTTAAATTTAAGAATTTTCCAGAGTTCTAGCTGACATTAAATTCCTTGGATTACACTATAATCACAGTGATGGAATGACCCCTCTAAACAGCCTTATTCTTTCCATTTACACCTTACTGTAAACCAAAAAATTTCATGCACAGAACATGCATATAAAAAAGGTAACAAACCAGGGAAGTCAAGTGGTTCAACACGGTAGTATTTCTTCCAGTCTTGCCCATAACTGATGTAGTCCAAGTACCAGGGTGCAGCCAGGACAGCGGGGAACCCAGCTCCAGTGACACTGCTCAGTTCATGAGCATAGCTGTTTGCCATCCACACTTGAACTACAGTGTCTGGTTTCAGCTAAAAGGGGGTAAGACAGAACAAACAACCCCGATTGCCCCCCCCCCCCAAAAGCCATTAATGACAATCCTAATTGCTGTTATCAGGAAAAAAGGATCATGAATTTCAAAACTGGCTATTTCGTTTTGAAGAGGAACATTTTGGAAGCTACCTATGGTCATCTCCCCCAAAGTCTAAAGCTAATTATCTCTTTGTTGGTTTTAAACACAGCTCTTTTGAGTGAAGCCTAGGTTATACTACAGACAGTTAATGCTCTAAGAGGATTCCTACATGCACCCCATATCTTACCAGCTCTTAAAAGCCAAGCATCTGGTGTTACTAGATCAGACACACAGTTGTGTGAGGGAGAAAAAAAAAAGGAAACTCCTAGAAACTTCCCTACCCTTTACTCTGATGCTTTAAAACATATTATATTAACTGTGTTCAGCTTCAGAAAGAACTTCAATGCTGGTGTTCCTGTCCCACCTATTTTACATGGTCAACAAATGGTAATTTCAAGGGAGGCCTCACACCTGGGGAGACTTTCTAATGTCAGAAGACTTGGTTTAACTTTTAAGAAACACAAACAGACCTACTTAGTAGCCTACTTTGGAAGCCTCCCACAATACTGTGCTGTTATACAAAAGTATCTTATTAATTTTCCCATCTTACCTGTGCTTTGTGATCAAACACTTCTTGCCAGATGATTTGTCCTTTGTTATAGGAGGAAACAATGTCCAAAATGCTGGAATTTAGAAATAAGATCGGGTTTGTGAACTTCAATAAGTACAGGCACTTGAAGAAGCAATATTTTCTACCCTAAGGCACATCTGACATTTCCCATCACTGCATAGGGTACCACGAAAAAGCATGTTGTTCTGGTTTTGGCCTTCAGTGCTCTTGAAGTCCATGTGTATAACAGTGTGTGCAGTAACACAAACTCATGTTCAGAACTACCAGCAACTTGTACACAGTGATAAATCCATGTTATTTAAGAAGGAGCCAAATAAATGGCTGCAAAACCTTTTCCTCCACAGCCTGCGTGCTGCCATTACTGCAGATATCTAGTTTAAGATATCCAATACATTCACAGTGTGTGTAGAACTAGCCTAGATATCCTTGATGTATCCCACATTTTAAAGCTATGAACTTTACATTTGACGTATTAAAGTGGGTAGTCCCCCATGTGTCGATTTTTGAAAACAATACAGATATTACATCAGCTTTAGTATCTGCACCTCAATGCCACCCTCAGATAGTGAAAAACTGAGCAGGAATAAAAAAACTAACATACTTCTGAATATAGTAAGATTCCAGTTTAGCATAGTCACTGCCAAAACCTTGCTTCTTCATGAACTCTTTCACTTCAGGGTTAGATTTCCTTAAATAATAACAAGGAAACAAGTTAAAGAAAAGATTATTTTTGTTATGTTTTAAACCAGATTTCCCAAACATTTCCACCTACGCACAGCACTAGATGGTGCCTTTGGCATGCCATAGCCTGGAATGTAAAATAGAGCAGAAGCAGCAGGCTAACACAACTTTGATATTTTGAAACAGTTTCATCCTGATTTGAAGTAAAGCCAATAGTCCTAATTCTCTGGTAAAACTAGTGAAGTCCCTGTTCTGAAGCGGTCTCTGGCAGATTGCCTCAAACTCTTAAGAGCTCTGGGGTTCCTGGCATCTCTGTGACTTAGTGGGAAGGCTGTCAGCAGGTCTGGGACTCATCAATTTTGTGCTTTTATCACAAAAGGAAATCAGCACTTCTGTGGTAAAGCATTTGTCAGAAGTTTTCTTTCTCTATAAAAATTAAATCAAGTCCTGAGTGTTCGGATTTGATGTTTAAAGAGAATCTTTGATGTTTAAAGAGAATCATCAAAATGTTCAAATTCTGTACTATCAGTTACTCCAGCAAAGAGACTCCAAAATATTCAAAATTCACAAACAAATTAAGAGCTCTATTAATACATGTCACACTTTAAATACAAACACAAAAGAATCAGCTTGGTACTACTTAGTGTTAGCGTGTCTTCTGGAGGGCAGAACTCAATGGAAAGATCTACTATAAAATACAGTATTTAAATGTTAATTATCTTATCTAGTACTTTTCTATCATATTAGTTCTCTTTCCTGCCAGGTTAATTTTCATAAAGAAATCCTTCAGAGTACTTGAGCATTTGTGAAACTACTAGACAAAGCAAAATTCTGCACAACATCTCTTGCTTGTTGAGAATCACAAATGCTCTGCTTGTAGATAATTATAGAGATAGGAGTGGAGATCTTTTGGTCATGCAGTGAAAACTGCCTCATGCAACTGAGTTCCATAATTAATGGATGTGGATAGGTTTAAGAAGCACTAGACATTTGTTCTTTGAATTGTCACCATACCAGCAACTGAAGTCCACTTCATCTCCTCCCAAATGAATGTATGCATCTGGAAACACACTGCTGATCTCTTTGAAGAATTTAGTCATGAAGTCATAAGTTGTATTCAAAATAGGATTTACAGGTCCAAAGGACCCAGTTGGCTGTCCTCCATTGTAACAAGGAGTGAGAAGATCTTTTTGACCTAGTAAAAACAATTAATAGAGGACATGCAGTTCCATGTTGCTATGCTAGCTTTACTAGCAGGAAGAAGCAGTTACCCATATTTAAAAGGTTAATATTCATGACTTAAGTGCTCACCTATTCCAAGTATAATCAAATAGAGGCAGAATGAAATAAAACAACTTGGACAAGGTTGAAGAACCCTCTAACTGGCAATTAGGACTTGGACTTTCAGATTTGTGATTTAACACACACTAATTTATGTAACATGTAACACTATATCTGAAAAACAGCATTTGGATGACTATTTGAATAAAAAAAACTTTAATGGATTTAGGAAGGAAGCCAATTAGAAGAAAGCCAAGCATAATGAGTATGCTTCAGAGGCCTCTTTCCTATTTTTATTACTCTGCTTTGCTAACATCTAAGTAGGTGTGAGGTATATAGCTCAAGGTAGATGTCCTACCTCACTCTCCTAGGAATTTACCTTTACACAAGAAAGAAAGGCTAAACAGAGATCAAAACTACGCAATGGTTCTCAAGTCAAGATGTCTGAAGCAACATGAGCCACGAAAACTAAATAAGAACGAGTTATTGTATGTGGGTTGGAGATACCTAAATCCAGCTTATTTAGTACACCATAGTTGCAGCAGCAGCACCTTCCTGCCTGTGTGTTTCCTACTCTGAGCACATTTCCCCCAAATGAGGCCCTAGTGCTAAATTGCTTCTACTACCCTACTCACAAGCATTAAGACTTCTCTCCAATATCCTGAATTTGAATGCAAGCAAAGCATAGCCACCCAAGTTCATAAGCAAAGCCAGGACTAGCTCCTGTGTACTGCATAAAAAAAACTGTACAGGAAGCTATCAAGAACACTTGATTTTAGGCAAGGGAGATCAACTTGCTCTTCAAATGAATGTAGAACCCCCACATATAGCCAGGCAAGCCAGTGATTTAATAGTTTGCTGTGAGTGCAAAGACCACTTGAGATAAAGGATTCAGAAAGAGTGTGTTTAGCAAATTTGGGGTTTGCCTTGTTCCTTTCCTTCTCATTTTGAATTACTGAGAAAGAGCCTAAGACATCTTTCAACATTATAGCCACAGCCCTGGAGGACGAATACAAGACTTGCTCTGTTGCTAAAGCTGAAGTTATGAGGCACTAAAAAAATCTTTACTTTTGGCCAAGACCATCTTAAGTTAATTGCAGTGAAATTGCATTCAGTGCACATTGAATTAAGGCACAAGGTTTCCTGGTCCTTGAGAACATGTAAACACCAGCATTCTGTATCAAGAGAAGTATTACTGTGAGACCAAGAAGGTAAGAGAGTGAAGAAGTATCCAACTTAGCTGTGTTTTGTACACTGGCAGATTACCACTTTACTAAGAGATAAACATCAATCACTTTGAAAGAACCTTCCCAAAGCAGAAATATCTACTCTGCACCAGACAGTAACTCATTATTTCTAGCTACTGCCTTATTATTCTAAACTTGAGTACTGAGTGAGGAGATATCAACAACATAAAGTCTAAGGCAGAATAGATCTGTACCTTTGCACACACATCCAGCACAGGATGTGTCAACTTTCTTCATTCATTTTAGTTCCTGTAACAGGTAAAGGTCATGACATCACAGAGTCTGCCCTTCCTTACCTCTTATCAGGGGCCTTCCAAAGCACTTTATTGACTACTTTTTAAAAAATCCATTTGCTTGCTACTACTCACCACAATCTCTTAACAATTTCTTTCTTAACAATACTTTCTTGGACATACCTTTTCCCCAAGACTGTGTGTGTCCTGGGGTATCAAACTCTGGGATAACTCTAATGCCTCTTAATCGGGCATACTCAATCACCAGACGGACATCAGCAGGAGTATAGATGAGATTACAGGAGTACGCTCCCTGTAAAATAAGTCACACTTAGAGACAGTTTACAAAACACTATACCAGCAACTCAAAAAATTTGGACTAAAGTGTTGTAAAACTACTCTACAGTCTACATTATAAGTTAGCCTTTTCTGGTTTATCACATGTGCAACTGCACTGATGGAACTTTTTAGCTGACTAGTGGAGAGAAGAAAAAACCAATCAAAAAACAAACCAACAAGTTCACAACACTGAGACAGACCTCCTTGAGAAGACCACTCTTTCCTCCTTAGCTCACAGTTACTGAAGAAAACAGAAAAGCTAGTTTCTATTCCGTCAGATTTCTGAAAGATACAGTTTTCAGCTCTTCTGTACAGAGGCAAGTTATTTTTTCCCATTAGCTCTGAAACACAGGGCTCTTGCTACATAACACGCAAGACTAATGGAAAAATTCTGCTAAGTCAGAAAGAATGGTGTCTTCTTCCAACACCTCTGCTTTTCAGTTTTGATATAGTGACCAATTTAGTATCGGGGAATGTTTGTTTTGTGACACTGAATTTGAGTGTTATTCTACTCCCTCACACCCAAAAAACGTGACAAATGACCCAGACAGTTACAGTTTGGTGAAACAGATGCTTGCTAAAGACCCAAACTACGTAAGAATACATCATGACTCTTCATGACTAGTAGCACCTTAAGCTTTCATTTCTCTGGAAATGGTTTCCACAGCTGAGTTACTCAAAAAACGTAATAGCAAACAAGAAGATTTTCAAAGAGGAGGCTATTGAGACAAAAGCCATCTTCCTCTCTCCAGCTGTCAGTGGAGCATAGGACAGAACTCCATAGCCATTACTAGGAAAAATAATCTGACTGCACTGTGCGACATCTACAATTTTTGAATTATAAAATTCTTCATGGCATCTGCTCAAGCACTGCCTACACAGTTTTCATGAGGGTCAGATTCCAGCAAGCGTTTTAAAACAGAATCAGTAATCTTGTACTTAGGCTTAGTCTACTTAAGTATTCATGTTTGATTTGGTTTCTACCATACCATGACTGAGCAAGAACCTCATGACTTTCAACTAATTTAACAAAGCCTACTATGAATCTAGAAATAAAGAGACACATTGCACTGTATTTGTTTTAGAAAGCAACTTCTCATTTTTGTACCTCTTTATAGGCATGTTGTGTTTTGTAAAGTTAACTAGATCTCAGACAAGGCAAAAGTGTTATTGCAGTGGTTCCAAACCTAAATCTGGCAAGAAACTCTCTTACATCTAAGTGGCAGGAAGCCTAACAGTTAAAAAACCCCACCATCAGAAATTCTAGCAGTGTTCACTACTTATTTGCATACCATTACTGTTTGAAGTCCTGCAAACACTGAGGATCATTAAGTAAATCTGCACAGAAGAGTTAGGAAGGCCATATACCATGTATCCACCAAGGAAGATTTGAAAATAGTCCACACAGACACTCAGGTAGAATCCTAAATGTGGACTTGCTGATTACTGGTCATGTGGTACTGTTTCACAATAAGCCAAAGCAGATGTACTCAATCATTGGTAAACTCTGCATTTTATATTCATGAAATATGTACTGGATTTCAGCCCTCCCACCCCACTCCAATGATGTTCACTCACCTTATCACTTAATTCAGGGAAATAAATGCTCTGGTAAGGGAATGACTGATCATCTACTATATGCCAGTGGAAAACATTGAACTTGTTAAAAGCCATGGCATCCTGTAAGAAATTATGCAAAAGACTTTAGTCAAACACTTCACTTTCATAGAAAACCTATGGAAAAAAGTCCACGCCTGAGCATATCCTGCATACCTAAAGCAACAGCTAAAAAAGAAAAAAACCAAACAAACCAAAAAACCCCAAACCAAGCAAAAGAAGCATAGTGTGTTTCACTGAATGCTAGAAGCACACACCTCTACTGGTTCATTCCTCTCCATCTATTTGCACCTCTGCTGGCAACAAGCTCTTGATCTAACCCTCTTCTACTCACCTGTGTAGTAAGAACTGCTATAAACACTCATTAATTTCTTCCACTTCAGAACATTTCTGGGTAATTCTGTATACAGCATCACATATTTCAGCTTACAGAAAAGCTTATACTTTTATAACTACTTTGGACTCGAAAACTTAACAGCATAAGGGAGTTTCCTGTAATTCCTATTTAGTACATCCATTCTTGCGACTGATTTCTGAAGACTCCATTTCAAATGCACACAGAATAAACCATGCTTTTTCCCCACAAAAGACAGTGCTTCCTTTATGTGTTCAACTATTACAGTCGTTACTTCCCTTTTTTTTTGAAACTGAAGATAAGATCAATGTTAACACACTTATTTTAGAATTATGACTCCAGTTGGACAGTTACAGACGTACCCTGAGTTATGCTTGATAGTCTGTAGAAGCATGAGCTGTGAGCAGGCCAAATAAGCGTTCTCTACATTGTTCATGACTGATTGCAACACAGCTGTTTCTAATCCGTTGCCACAATACAATTATTCTCACATTTCTCCCATTCTTTTTTTCACCAATCTGTGTTTAAAGAAGTGATAAAATCTCTTCAGGAACTCCCACCAAATCCAAAAGGATATTTATACCTTGTCCATTCCCCAAAATTATCTCATCTGTTTCATTACACTGCAGAAGTTTTAATTGCCACGTCTTCATTCATTTCTATCAAATACCATCCTTCCACATAGAAAATTACATCTCCTGACTTTCACCTCAGCCACTCTTCTCTCAAGAACAATGCCCTTCCTGCAAATACAGTACAGTAGCTGAACACGAATTAGAAAGGTATGTGAACTGCTGCCCTAAGCATCTTATTACCACATGTCAGTGAAGAGATTATTGATGCTTTTTATTACCCTGGATTCAAGCAGGCACCGAGGTGGGAGGAAAAGTACACTTGTTCTTAAACCAGCAAAATTGCATAAAAGATAGCTCTAGTAATGTGTTGGAGAGACACAGATGCAATTTAAGGAAAGAAAACAGAACAGCAACAGTTACAGAAAGACAAAACTGGTAGAAATGCAAGTCTCTTTTGATATCTTTTTTAGACAAGACGACAAACAACAGCACAAGTATCTACTTGAGAAGCACCTTCCATTGCAAATGAAATACTACACACAAGCACTACTTGTTGAACAGGCACTGACCTTGAAGGTAAAACAAGTAGTAAAAATTGGACAAGTTCTGAGCATAGTTCAAGGATGACCTCAGAAATGAAGACTGGTTTTACCTGCACTCTTCCTGCCCATCTTAAACCTGTTTTGCAAAGTTCTGCAACATGGAGGGGAAATTTCAAGTATTATTTCATTTTGGAGAAGCAAGACAGACAAAACAGGAAAATGCCTGTTCCTCCACTTCAATTCACTAAATAATCCCTTCTACAAGGATTTCAACAACAAAAAAAAAAGGAGTGCAAGACAGAAAACCCCACAGCTTTGGCTACTATGCTTATAAAAATTCACTACCTTTCCATCAAGGTGGGAGTATAAAACTCTTAGTGTGCTTACATAAGCTTTTTGGAGAAAGTTTTATTTGTTTTGTGTTTTGTTGTTGTTTGTTTGTTTTGTTTGTCTGGGGTTTTCTTTTCAGGAGCTTCCAGTGAACATTACCAAATTTCTCTCTTGCTCTGTAATACTTAATCAGTGGCTTGCTCTTAGCAGCCTAAGAAAAGGACTACCAAAGCCTGGCTACTGAAAAGATGGGAATTTTCCTGAAATCACTGGCACTGAAGCTAGAACTTGCAAGGTCTCCTATGTATTGCTTGGTGACAGTCAGATGTCTCAGAATATGCTTCCAAGAAGTAAAACATTAGCTGGCTTGGGCAACAAAAAATACGGAGAATCCAAGGTACCACAAATCCCAGCCCCCATTACAGATTCACTAATCATTGTGTCTGCCTACTTGATTCCTCTCCAGTCTGTTCTGACCTTTGCTTAACAAAGTTCACTCTGTCCTTTTAGAAGTCAGCCAGAGGAGGTGGGTTTTTCTTTCATATCAGCTCCAGTTGCTACCTACTTCAGGGGACAAAACACAACAACAAAGAGCCTTCATTATAATGATACAAAACTGCCCACTTACCAGGTTTGTAAGAATAGATTTCAATGGTAAATAATGCCTTGAAGTGTCTAGTAAGATTCCTCTATGTGCAAATCTTGGAAAGTCATTGATTTCAGATTCATTGACAAGAAACTATGAGAACAAAATTTAAAAATCAGAACTCCCATTTAATATTCATAATTTCAAACAGGAAATACATTTTTTTTCAGAAAATGTTTCTAGGAAATCTGTTAACAAACTGAAAAGTTACTGAATGAAACGGGTAAATCTGTTGTTTCTAGAAAAGCATCCAGTAAAGAATCTGTTTGTCTATAATCAGGACAGTGGTTTTAGTTAATACTTACACTTCCATAGTCATCTTCATGAACCAACTGGCTGAAGGTTTCCAAACCTGGAAAAATATCCAAGAAAGGGATGTGGAATACAACCCAGTACTTGCCCTTAAAGTTTTAGTTAAAAACAGGACCACAACTATTTACAGGCATTCACAAAGCAAGAAAGAATGCTTTATAGCTGAGTTTCCTTCTTTTCAGCACAGTTTCCTTAATTGCTCAAGCACCACTGTTTTAAAAATTCCGAAGACAGAACCATTCAAATTCTCCATTACACACAGATACTGAATACTATCACTACAGCTCAGTGGTAGCAAATTAATCCTTGAATAGTAAGAAAGTTACTGAGAGCAAAATCTGTTGGTGTAACATTGCAGTAAGAACAGCAGGCTGAAACTTCAGCTTATGATCTTCGTGGTAATGTGTTCAGTATGTCAAGTTATTAGGTGCAGTCAGAGAATAATCTGTTTACACTATAGATCAGAGAGCTTTTTAGCACCCAGGGTTTGCTTGGCCTGGCTGATTTCAGGCAAGCGAGAGTGCACTTACGGTGCGCCACTGGATCTGAGATATGGAGCATCAAACCAACAACATCTGAGTATCCTTCTGGCCTGACCAAGCTTACTTCCAATGACATACTGAATGAGGGCACAGCTCAGTGATCAGCTGGTTCTTAGTCTGCCATGAAGTTTGTGTAAGACCTACCAAACAGCTCTATATGAAAAGTAGCAACTTACCTCTTAAAGCACCCCATACCTCATAAGCTTTCAGTACAGCCACAGGCTCAGTTACAGTTAAATGATCTAAAGAAAAGAAAAGAAAAAGGTTATTCCTCAAGAAACCATGAGTTGACAGGCCAATGCTAATAGGCATTAGAGATTCTTCAAGTGCCATGTCTCCCTTTGTTTTTTAAATGACTGTTTTTAACGGTCACAGCGCGCAATTATTTTTCATTTGTTTTTCTGATATAATGCAAGCTACTGTTCAGAGAGTCAACAGTTAATAAATAAGAAGACAAAACAAGTGAGGTGCTTAATAATGGCAATGTTAAAATATTGTACATGGGCCAAAATTCCAGCCAAGTTTAACTCAACTGATTTAAAACATAACAGATTATATTTCCACTTTTAAGGCATGGTGATAAGGGTTGAGTAACTATGCCAGACTTAACCACAAAAATTTCACTTCTCCTTCCACCTTCCTTTCATATAGATTATGCTTACATATTTTTATTAGAGATATAACTTTTCATATAATATTGCCAGGTACTAACTATAAGGGTATAATGACAAAGGAAAAAAGCTAATAATCAGACCATAGAATCATAGAATATTCTGAATTGGAAGGGACCCACTAGGATCATTACGTTCAACTCCTGGCCCTGCACAGGACACCCCAATAATCACACCATGTGCCTGAAAGCATTGTCCAAACGCTTCTTGAACTCTGTCAGGCTAGATGCTGTGACCACTTCCCTGGAGAGCCTGTTCCAACCATCACCTGGACGAAAAACCTTTTCCTAATATCCAACCTGAACCTGCCCTAACACAGCTTCGTGCCATTCCATTGGATCCTGTCACTGGTCACCACAGAGAAAAGACCAGTGCCTGCCCCTCCTCTTTGCCTCATGAGGAAGCTGTAGACAATGATGAGGCCTTCCCACAGTCTCTTCTCCAGGCTGAACAGACCAAGTGACCTCAGCTGCTTCTCATACAGCTTCCTCTCAAGGCTCTTCCCCATCTTTGTAGCCCTCCTTTGGACACTCTCTAAAAGCTTTATATCTTTCTTATATTATGGCACTCCAAACTGCGCACAATATTCAAGGTGAGGCTGCGCCACACAGAGTGACTGGCTGGTGATGCTGTGCCTGATGCACAAATAGGATGCCAGGTCACTCTACTGACCCCACATCTAATGGACACATGTATGGGGGCAGGGAGATGAAGTAAGGTAAGTAAAATGGAGAATGGTATCTGAAGGACTTCATAACAATCGTCCCTTAACTTTGTGTAACAAAGTACTGGTGAAAAAAAAGGTAAAATAATTTTGGTTTTGCATTTAAGATGATTCAGTAAATTTTAGTAAAGAAACAAATATATTTTAAATATTTTTTAACTATGTACATATATATGTATAAAAATACACTATTTCTATAAATCTATAGATTTATATTATTATTTAAACAGCAAAGCAATAATAAGCTTACAAGGATTGCACATCTGACAGAGCAGAGAAAAAAAAGGGGTGAACTGCTGTACAGACATTTATTTGATCTGTGTATGTATCAAAGAATGTTTTGTCATATAATACACAGTTCAAACATTTACCTAAACTAGCAGGAAAAAGCCATTCAGCGACACAAAGAAAGTACCTCAGTCTTCCAAGTTAAACTAAGCACAGATTGCACTTACTGCAAGGTTTGGGTAAGAAAGAGAACTTAGAAGACTACTGCAAGTCTTTCTGTGGTAAATTGTGATCAATTGTCACAGATTTATTTCCAAGAGAGCAGGCTTTTTTTTCTGAACAGATATCATACCTTAACTGAACACAGGACAAGCTATTTGGAACCTTTTATACAAGCAGGTAAGAACTCAGCAGGGAGAAGGGCAGGTACTTTTATTACATATTCAATACTCTTTTTATAGGATAGTCACTGACTGATAAATACTATCTCTGCTAAGGAGCCGCACCATCCAAACCATCAAGTGACCGCCATCAAAAAGCTTCAAAAACCCAGAAAATTAAAAACTCACTGAAGTCTGGAAAGCTCAGCTTACCACATGAGGAAAACATGTTATTTTTAACAGGAAACTCATTTCTTAGAGCAGAGGGAAAAAACTATGCCTGTTCTAAAGAATGCAACCTAAAGATCATATGATCTGACAGACTGCGTGACAGAAGAGGAGAACCAGCTTTGGTAAAAATCTGTAGTTCACAAACCAGTTCAAAGTTCAAATTAGTAATATGGCAGCACAATAACCTGACTGTGGCAGAAAAATGCTAAAGCATTAGTATTTTTGCTGCTATATTTTATTTGCATTGAAATGTATCATAAGCTTGCACACAAAACTATTTAGCTATATGTGCCAAAAACACAGAGTACATTTAATATCAGTACATTCTATTACAAGTCAAGTGGAATTAATCCTGCTGCTGATGTATGACTTAAGATTAGAAGGATCTTTTTCTAAGGATCTGTATCCTGGATACCAAACAACTGCCTTCCCTAGTACAGAAGATTACCTCAAAACAGAACTAGATGAATTGAATATGTTGATTCCTGTGCTAACCTGCCCAGACAAAAAGCAATCCTATCACTCATCCTTATTTCTGTTAAGAAAATTCTCTGGTATTTAGTTCTTTATTTAAAGTACTTCTCCAGTCTGGACTTTAACCACAGAACTAAAGAAGCACAGAAAAATCCAATATAAACACCATGTTTTTAAATCCTTTCTGGTACTTACTGATATAAAGTAGATTTATAACACTGCAAGATAAATAACAAGTTCAACACACACTTTCTGCTTTTCCTGGAAAAACAGGAAATACCATGCGCATATCTCAGTATAAGTAGCTTCAATTCAAATGTAGTAATTTCTAAGGAGAACATATGGTAAACAGACAGCCTTCACTCAACACCCTGTACTGAAAGGGATGATCTCTGACTACACACAGATCTCACCAAACATAACTGGATATTGCATAGCATAGTAGCTCTGATTCCTAATGCTATTTGCTAGAAAGGACAGTAGCAGATACCCGTACGGTAGCTAAACTGCAGAAATCACAGGCGACATGTCTAATGAGCTTCATGATTCCCTGTGAGCTGAGATTTCCCACAGCATCAAGGGCAGGAATTATCTTCTGGTCGCCACTGTTCTAAAACGTTCTTGACCACCTCAGTGAGCCCGTGCTTTCCAGTTCCCCAAAAACAAAACCCTGCTGACTTCTACACTGGACACGTGATGGGAAACCCAGCGCTTAACGGTGCCGCCTGGGCCGTGGAAGGAGCAGCGCGGTGGGCGGCCGTGCGGGTACTCACAGGCCTC